GGCAGGCCACGAGGACCGGCCACTCGGCGCGGTAGTGGTGGGCGACGGCGACGGCCTGCACGGTCTTCCCGAGGCCCATCTCGTCCGCCAACATCCCCCGCCCCCCGCGCGCGACGACGAAGGCCACGCCGGCCTTCTGGAAATCCCGCAGTTGGGCGTAGACGACGTCGTCCGGGTCGAGCGCGGGGGCCGCCGGCTCGACGCTGTGCTGGATTTGCGCGAAACTGCGGAAGAAAAAGCGAGGGATCTCCTCCACCAGCACCCCGGACACCCCCTCCAGACGCCCCACCAGGCCGGAATAAGACTCCATCGGGTATAAATAAGCCGCCCGGCTGGGATACCAGGCGGGGCTGAAGCCCTCGTCCTCCAGCGCCGCCCGCAGCGCCGGGTTCTGCGTGAGATCGCCCTCCACTTTCGCCATGACGGCGATGTGGGCGTCCGCGATCTTCCCCAGCCCGATCGCCTCGTCCTGCTCCGCCGTCGGGTGCAAAAGGGCCTCAAAGCGGACGATCATCGTCCCTGCGGGGGAGTTCAGCGTTAACAAAACGCGAGTGTAGCCCTCGCATTGGACCGGCGTCAGCGCGTGAAAGCGGCATCGGCCGGTCGGGCAGACGTACAAGGATTTCCCCTCACGGCTGATGATGTTACGCGCGGTGTCCCCGCAATGGCAGTCCATGAACCCCACGCCCGATCGGTAACCAAAAAAAAAAGATCCCGCACGCGAGGGGATTCGATCGGTATATGCTATACTAACAATTCTATCGTGGAGTGAAGTATGGGAGTGTGGGTGGGTGTGGAATGGAAAGGAAGCCACCGCCTGGTTCCCCTAAATAGTGTAGATCAGTACACTCCTACAAAAAAAAAAAAAGGGAAAAGAAAGAAAAGACCATGAGATAAAATGAGATTGACATCACACATACACAAAGACCCATACCACGTAATCTATTCATTTGTCAGAAAAGAATAGAGAGTATCATCTTTTTTGTTTGTTTTTTTATTAGGCAACACTGCGGAAGGAACCACACGGGTCAATGAATAGATGCCACTTATAAATTTCCTTCACCTAGAAGTATTCAAGGAAACCCTTAGCCTCGATGTCTAAGCACAGTGCCTTCGTGTTTATAAATTTTCCATTATTATACTCAAGAAGTGTTAATAGCATCATTTAATATTTATTCTTTTTTTTTTCTTTAAACGCTTACAAAAAGATGTCAAAATTGCAGGAACCTACCTAGTATCCGGAACCAGGGTATTCAACTTTCACGCATTCAGCCTTTTCCGTCCTTTCTTTTTCTTTTCTGCACCAAACAACACCGCAGGGCGTGCGGTCCTACGCATTTGACGGCAAATCGGCCGTGTGGTTACTGCCCGCGTTGGTAGACGGACCTCGTCTAATCTTCGTTCTCGCGTGGGCCTTCGCCGATTTCTCGCTCGGCGCCCCGGAGCGGGCGCGTTTGGCCGACGCAGGCGGGAAACGCGGGTTTGAACGGCCCTTTTCCCTTGGAGGTTCCGGCGTTGGCGGCGGGGAGGGCCCTGGGTTGAGTTGTGGTAGGGCCGCCGCCGATTCCCACAACTGCTGGAGGGCCGCCAAGGCTTCGAGGGCCGGCCCCGCGCGCGCCCCGCCCGCCAGCGCGAGCTC